ATGAGAAACAATTTCTCATGCTGACACGTTCAAGTGTCCATGTTTATAGTGCCCTCAAGGTCAGCGAGGGCCACACAAAGTGGAAATTCTCATTTTATAATGGCTAGCAGTATGACTCTGTAACGTAATTTGGTGATTAGGGACAAATATTCATTAACCCCGGGGCCTTTCTTGAAAGTGTAGCCTGGTGTAGACAGAAACTGTGGTTAAAAAAGAGTGTTGGTAGTTTTATTTAGAGGAAGTAAGACCCAAGTAAGCTGAATGTCATACAGCAGGAAAGTGGTACAATAAACTCCAGCTATTGCTATGAAGTATTTTTAATGACTTAATAATTGATGAGAAAATGCTTTGATACACCCTGTTCAAGAAGCAATGGATGCCCATGACACAAAGTATGATACATACAATATTGAAAATAATATAAAATGAAAATAGATCAAAGCTGTTACCTGAAGTTGCTTACAGGATTTTATCAATTCACACTCATTATTTTGATTGATTGGTATATAGAGAAAGAAACAACAATAAAGGACCCTTTCAGTAGCTGCTTCTTGCATGCATTGATTTTTTTTTTTATGCATTTCCCCTGCCCTCCTGTTGTACTGTTGGTAAATTAAAAATAAATTCAATACTGGCTAAGTAGCTTATCCATAAAATTTCATTTTTCTGTACTTAAAAAAAATTCTATTGCTACCTTTTTAAAGTCATTCAGGATAGGTGCTGAAGACTTACCCCTTTTTATGAAATTTCAAACAAGAGAAAGACTTAACATCCTGGTTCGGTACTCATTTTTTTCTGTTGCTAAAAAAAAAATCTTAATTTGAAGGCTTTCTCAAATTTTTGTAACTACAAAAAATATTATAATGCAAAGTTAAATAATTTAAAAATTCCTTAATTATAGTTTTAGCTGCTATAGCTTTAATATTTATATTTTTTGGTTAAGTATTAATTTTATTGCATAGTATTTAGAAAATAAGCCTTTTATTTATGAGGCACAAAAACAACTACATAACAAAGAATAACTTAACTCAATGGTAGAGTTTACGCTCTGAATCCGGATAACTGAGTGCCTATTCAAAATGAATATTCAACACTGACACAGACAAATTCATTTAACTAAAAAATTAATTCCTTTCTGCAGTCCCCTCTCGCTATAGTCTGGCTGAGAAATGCCCCCCATGGCCTAATGTTTGAACACCGACAGCATCAGTAGAGAAGCATGAATAACAGGCAGAGTCTTGACTTGTTGGGTATAAACGAAGCATTGTACCCAGCATGGTGTGAATCAAGTTCAACGATCATCATTGTCACTGTTGAGCCATGTGTTGAGGGTGCCCGCTACAACAGGAGACTGTGCTGCCTGCTTTTTATCTCTTCTTCAAACCTTATTTACTACTAGAAGCATGCTGCTCTAGGGCGGCAGCCTGGATGTCCTTAGGCCAGTTCATCTCTGGCATTTTGTTAAAGGGCTCACTTGGTGGCCGACAAGAACAACTGGACAGCTGGTAGCGCTTGTTCCGAAAGAGATGGAGTGACTTGTTTTGGGGGCAATGCTTATGGATATCCCCTTTGGAGAGGGCATTGAGGTTTTCCACGATGATTTTTGGTGGGCCTGTTTTGCACTTTGAACCATTCTTGTAATTTTAGCTATCATGATTCTCTCAGCAGGGGACTGAGTGTGTGGCTGCCAGGATCACACAGCCAGTCAGTTACAAGACCACGGGAGTGCTGGAGAGACTTCCAGTAATGGAGGATGTACCCCACAGCTGGACCCATTGCCTTTTGCTCATCAACCTATGTGAGTAAGTTAATGACTTATCTAGTATAAAGAAAACATTGTTGTGGGTATGTGTGCCTATCATGTCTACTTCTTTGTAGTTTGAAAAACATGGACAAAACTTAGAAGAAAATCATTGAGTCAAAGTAAATTTACAGAAGTAACTTTAAATATGCTTATTTACAACCAAATAGTATGAAATGAGCGCAGGATTTTTGCTTGTGGCTAAAGAACAAATTTCACAAAACACATGAATTCCACATTATCCTCTCAAAGAAGTTTATTTGCACTCTGCTCTAACAAATATAGTTTGAAGGCAACAGTCATTTAAGTATCATAGTGTGTGGCACAGATGAGAACAGACAAACAGACTCAGAAGCTGTCCAGCATGTCAAGACTGGCTTAACAAAAGAGGCACGTGGTACCCTATTATTACCAGAAGACATTTGGTTTTTTTGTTTCCTTGCAAGCAACAGACGACATGTATTCGCGTTAAGTAAAAACATATCTTGTTCAAGAAAAGTACTTTTCTCCTGATTTTCCTTTATATCACAAATGTCAGGGTAAGGCAAATCCTTAATGAGTCATATGATAAAAACCCTATTTCCCGAGAAAATATATTGAGCGTATTCTGCTAACTTTGTTGTTGTTCAAAGCACAGCCGACATGCACCACATACAGAGAAAATGTCTTTGCAAACCAAGTGCGTCAAGCAGAACTGGACTAATTCACAAAGAGGCTTTGCAGAGTTTCATAGGAAGATTTACAATTAGCTGCAGTGATTAATATGTGACTCGGTGTCATAGACAGGGCTTGGGATGTCTTCTTTGTAAGCTTTTTATCAAAGAAGACTTGTCCATCATCTGAATAGTTACCAGCAAGAGGAAAAGCCCCTTTGTCTAGCCTGCAGCGAGTACCTTTTTAATTAGGACTCTATGTCGAAGGCCTACTTCAACTGTGTGTGTGCAAACATGACTAACAACAGGGTTACTTTCCTCCCATCCTCCCACTGCCCTTCATGTCGTGTGGCCTGGCTGGAATTCATGTGTGGAAGAATTGGTCTACTTCCCACATGGACTGCATTGCACAGCCTGTGCAGTGCCAGGGCCAGCAGGCAAAGGGTTTCCTCTTTTGTGATGTCTTCAGGCTGGCCCAGAGCTAAAATTTTAATATTTCATTGTTGAAGTGTGAATTAACTGCATTATTTAGTTTAAAGCATACAATCGTTCAGCCACAGAGCAACCAAAAATCTACGGCAAAGCAAAAATGAAAATGTCTAATTCATAAAAAGAAGTCTAAGCAAATGCAGGAGTGGGACTCCCCCCTCTCTGTTTCCTAGATACCAAGAGTGCTTTCCTTTTTCTACAGTTTTCATAGAACTCTCTCCTCCGATTTCTTAACCCATGCAATATGAGTGCATCAAATGGCTGCCATTGGTAATAAAGAGAAAGGTGGGCTGGATCCCTTCCGTCCTGGTTGTCCCTTTTTTGCCTTTGTCCATTTAGAAGCCTGCTGTCCACTCTAGCCCCCTAAGGGGTCCCAGCAGTACTTCCCCTGGAAGTTCTGAGGAAACCCCCTCCTAGCTTGGTTCTTTTGTCAGGCATGTCCTAAAAATGATGGGTGCTTGTAAAATAGCTAGGAAGGTGGCAAGACACATTGAAGCTATCAGTATCTGAATGGCATCCGTTCTTCAATTATTTAGAGAAAGTATTGTTCTAGAAAACAGTGTGTAATGGAGAGGTGTGTGCTTTCATGTCAAACTGTAGAAGGAAGAGAGGCCATGGGGTAGCATCATGAAATTGCTGAAATAGCCTTGTTGCTATGTTGAATTGCTTTAATGAAAATTAGAGATGTTAAAAGGTAACATATGCAGATGTATGATTTGCTACTTATTCTATTATACAAAATATGTTATCTGGAAGAGGCAATTAATTCAGAACAGCCGAAACTGGTCATAGGAAGATAAGGTGAGTTTTCCACAGGAAAGGACAAAACTAGAGAGCTGGATGAGACATTTATAAAGTGGTATCACTTCCCATACCCCTTCTGTTAAGAACAGCAACATAAACATGCCAAGTCTATAGTACTGTAGAGTTCAGGTGATGTGCAAAAGATACTACCATGTCTTTGGAAGCCAGGGAGGTAGTGGGAGAACTTCCATATGTTCTGGGACAGAGAGTTGGGATGATGCCCGGCCTCCTCTGGTCTTCATTGCTTGAGCTAACTCTATTCCACTGTCTTCTTAAGTTGTTAATAGCTCTAACTACCTTTTGGATGAGTGGATGATCTATCAAATCATTCTTGAACTTGGCATGAGCAGACAGGTAAGCCAGGACTGGAAGCAATGGCTCCTAGGGCTGCTAACTTCAAGTGTAAACCTCTGTGGGCTAACACACCTTGGCTCAACATGGATATTCTTTTATGAAAAGTAGAGATTTCATGAGGAACTTTGGAAATTATTTAATAGGTTTGTTTGGGTCCTAAAATGGAGCAAGTGCATCTATTAGGTTTTATGATAGTAATACCCTTTCCCATTGCATATGAAGGAGCACATCTCAGTGATGGGCTCTATATGGAAGCACACCATGAAGACCTCATAAACCAAAGAAGCTGTGCTCAAAATCAGCCTCAAAAGGGAATGCACAAGACATCCTGGATGTGGAGGTGAAGACTCTGGTGGCTGCTAGGTCCCACCTTCTTCATTAAACCCCGATTAAAACATTCTGAACCCCTCATTCAGACCTCTTCAAGGTGTTCTCCGAACATTTTTCTATCCTTCCTCCTCTGTCTGTAGATTTTACCAATTTTGAGCCTGGTGATTCTTGAAATTTAGCCTGAAGCTTGTCAGTCACCTTCCTCCCCCCCACCCCCTCTTGGGAGAAATCACTCTATGACCAGCTTTGTGAGGTAACCAAGAAAACAGACAGGGGCCAGGAGACACAGGTGAGTCTTATCCCTATCACCAACCCTAGGGTGAGGCAAGGAGAAAAAGAGCAATGAAAGGGACGGAGCGCCTGAAAGTTTGCCTTAGCATGGGGCCTCTCACAAGTGGAGGAAGCTTGCTTTCTTATTCCTTTTTCTTTCTTTCTTCCTTTTGAATTTTTTCCTGTTTCCTTTTTCTGTAGGTAAACAAAACAAAATGCAGCTGGGGTGTTAGAGCAAAGGACCCTTCCTTCTTCGGACTCGCCTCCCCCCTCCCCCACCCTCTTCCACAGCACACACTATCTTCTTCCCAAGTCCCCCAGGGCCAGGCCTTGCGATGCTGAGGGTTGTCATTTAGCTTCAGTTCTTTGTTCCTTTGCTTCAGCTTCATCTTGTGGCCCTGAGGAAGACAAAGAGAAACAAACGGTTTGTTAGATGAAAGATTAGGCGTCTTCACGAGGCTAGGCAAGGAATAGTTTTTTTAATGCAGCCCATGAACTGTCAGTCCTCAGCCAGGCCTAGCAAGAGCTTATTTGACTATCAAAGGGCTTTACCTATCTGCACTGTAATTGCTAGCACCTGCTATCTTTAACGATCTTCTAAATCACCGCTGATTAATGTAGGCCACGTGACACATTGCTTCAGCTGGTGGGGACGATTAACTCAAGTGTTCAAAGAATTCTTTGAACAATCTATCTTTGATGTGTCCATCCTTTCCCGACTATTCCCACAGTCTAGATTCTAGGGACCGGAATGCAAATAAAGACGTATATTATGTTGCTTTGCATTGATGAGACCTTTCTTGTTGCCTATCTGCTGTCCTCCACCCAGAGACAACTTCAAAAGACTCTTTCCCAGAAGAGTCTATGGTCATTTTAGTTAGACTTTTAAAACTGAGGTTAGTTCACCTCCAGGGAAATGTATTAATCAGATGTACTCTGTTGATTCTAGTTTTATATTCATATTTAGTCCGTGACACTATCATATCTGAAAAATCCTCATGATTCTAGAAATATCCCTTTGTCAAGGCCAACCCTGCTGGAACCAACAATTCTTGGTCCTAGAACTTTCTACACATGAGATCTCTGCAAATAGGATCACAGAAGTGCCTTTCACTCAGCATAGTGTTTCTGTGAGTTGTAATGCTGCTTCTTAAGTTTATTTTGTTCTTCTCCAATGATGACTGTCAAGACCCTGTGTATAGAAATCCCATTTTCATCCATTCTATTGTGAGATATTTAGACTGTACCAAGAACATAGCATCCATTTGAATGAGGTTTGGTATATTGGTATTTCCTTTGAGAGGTGTTTATTTAGGTCATTTTCTTATTAAGTAGAAAATTTGCTTTTAAGTCTTTTGGTTTCTACTCTGGATATTCTTCTTTTTAGATATACAGCTGACAAATGCTTCCTCCCACTGTCAATGTCTCTCCATTATGTTGATTGCATAGGAGCTTCGCTCTTGGACGTAATCCTGTTTACAAAGTGCTCCTTTTGCTCTTGTGCGTTTGGAATCCTATCCAGAAAAAACATTGCCCAGACCAATGACATAAAGTGTTTTGCTCAAATAGTTTTGGATGCTACATTTATGTTTTTGATCCCTCTTTTAGTTAATTTTTGTACAGGGTAAAAAAAAACAAAACAAAACAAAACCGGACAAATTTCAATCACCTACAGGTGCAGGTGGATTCTGACTTTGCAAAAACTGCCATGCCTCTAACCTGGATTTTTTTCTTCCTCTGGATTACATTTTTGTTATTGTTTTCTGTTTTCATATGGTTAGGTTTTCTTTGCTGTTGATCCAGCTTTGTGATTGGGTTTTCTACTAGTTGCTTTTCTCATTGCTGTGACTAAATGCTGAGCTAGAAACAATGTAAAGGAGGAAGAAATTTTTCTATGCAGCAGTTTAAGAAAGGACACAGTCAATCATGGTACCCATAGTTAGTACAGAGTGATGATGAATGCTTGTCCTCTTTGTGGTTTGCAGGTGAAAGGTTCATCATGGGGTTAAGGTCCTTGAGTACCTGGTTTCTGAAACTAGTTTGGGGTGTTGTGGAACCATTGCCAGTCAGGCTTATCTGGAAGACGCAGGTTGTTTGGAAGCAGCTCATCCAAGTTTGTACTCATTCCCAATTCTGGTCCAATACCCTGCTTCCTGATGCTCCCAGTTATGAGAAGGTCATTTTATAAGCTCCTATCATCATCAAAAACTGGGCTGCCACAGCCCAATACTGTTTCCTTTACATTGTTTCTAACAGGCATTTTGTCCCAGTTGTAGAAAAGTGGTGATATACTGGGCTTAGGTGATGTGCTTCATTTTTTCCCCATTCGGTATAATGCCGGCCATGTCTGTTTTCTGAAGGTGTAATATTTGTGATGGGAATAGAGGGTTCATGAAGTGTTGCTAAAACATATAGAATTTAATATGTTGAAATGATCATATGCTTTCTATCTTCCAAACTATTTAATGTCATTACATTTATTGATTTGCATGTATCAAACCATCCTTGCATTCCTGGGATAAAATTAAGTTTGATAATGTTGAATGGTCATTTTTTATGCTAAATGCATTGGGCTTTTTACCTCCTTCATCTAAGTATAATAGTCTTGAAAAAATTGGCTTCAGTTTTTTTAAAGATTTTTGTGAGTATGACCTTAAAAGTTTGGTTGGAACCTAAATAATCTGTTCCCTGTCTTGATGCGCCTACCATTGCTCAAGCATGAGTCCAAATGAGCCTTTCTACCTTATACATTGATTTTGGTCAGAGTAATTGAAAACGCAAGGTTATAACATTTTTTATGCCAACTAACCCTCTATAGAAGTTCTAGTTAATCCACATTTTTTGTACCAGATGATTATATTAACTTTATAAAGGAGATATTTCAGTAGTAATGTACATCAAACTAAGGGGGGAGACTCAGGGGGGTAACAGCTCTATGCAATCCCTAACCCCAATAGTAGTGTACATTAGCATATATTTGATGTAATTAATAATTAATTCCTATAGAGAGTAAGTAAACTATTACAGGGATGTAGAAGAACAGGGTCTAATCCATGATTCTGCTAAAAGAAGAAAAATGTGACATCACAAAGTGCAGAAGGCTGTGAAGATGTGGGGAACTTGAAATGAAAGTTATAATCAGTATCCATGATAGATTGCAGCTATCCCGAAGGATAGTTAAAGCTATGCGTGTCCAAGTATCACATATAAAGCAGTGTGGTGTGTGCATAAAAGTCAAGCACATCCTTCTGTGTAACTTAAATTACCTCTAGATGATCAAAATCCTTCATATAATGCAATGTTTTGTAATTGTCATTCTGCATTATTTAAGGATAACAAGGAAAGTCTCTACATGCTTTCTACATATCCATTTTTTTAGAAAAATGTTTTAAATTCATGGTTTTCTTGAAGCAGTCAATGTGGGGACAGCATATATGGACAAACAAAGTAGTTATCTAGTATGCATCAAATACAAATGGCATAAAGTTCAGAAAACCAGTGAAGTAAAATCAGGCAACCTAACAAGCGTGTACTGGTCTCAGTTCCCTTATCACTTTAAAGAGAAGTCAAAGTAGATGATGCCTTATTAATTGAGATGGTTTGTTTTAGTGGTAGTAGCTGACGAGTCATTTTAAAAAATAATATTTGAGATCTGTATGAACCAGAATACCACCATCATGCTTGCCAGGAGCAGTGCTTGAGCTATTTAAAAGCAGACGAGAAAGAAATGGTGGCTACTATGTTCACAGATTCAATTGCTGCATGCTCACCGTTAAAGAATTTGGAGTTGGAAGAACTCAAACCTCCATGCATCTTTTGGTTAAGGAAAATGGATCTATACTAGCACTTTATCTGGATACTGATTACATAAGAAATTAATAGACAAAAATCCAAAAGTTGTAGGGGTTTTTTTGGCAGCTAAAGAATAAAAGACCAGGAAACACTGAGGAAGAGTATAAACTGTTTAAATTTTGTCACAGTTCATTACTTTCAATGGTAACTTTATAGCTATTAATTCCTATAACTTCACAGGATATTTGATATACATAGGTAAGGTTAAAATGTTTATGAGCTCATGTGTATATGAATGTGTATTTTAAAAAACAATTTCCTGTTATACAAAATGGTATTAGCTTTCTGGTCCCATGAAGTTCAAGATTGTCATGAAAAGGATAGATATGTTCTCTCCTATGGTCTGAGCCTTCATTCCCCTGTGATGTTGGAGCACATGTACTGTGCAAGGTGATTTTGTGGCAGGGTGAAGAGATCAGGAGGACCCAGGGAGTGAAGAGGGCAACCAAGGCACTAGCTGTGTTCTGCACTCATTCCCAATTCATTCTTCTATGGTGTTTTGAAACATTCAGTTAATAGTAAGGCTAACTTCTTTATTTCAGCCTTTTCTGTCTTTTCCACAGCCCTCTCCAGGGATGGGAAAGGCTGATCGATTGTTTATCACTCTAGATATGATGTAGACTGTGTGGTCTGCTTACCACTTTTATTTTCCGGGGTGTTGCCTCGGGTTCAATGGACTCTGGCTATGTCTGTCTGTACAGATGTGTGTGTCCTCAGGAGTTAGTATGCTTTCTTAGGCACCTGCTTTTCTGTCAACATGTATTTATATGTCTTTATACATTCTCTTGGGTAAAAATTTAGTGTTACACTTAAAAAAACAGATATAGTAAACAACACAGTATGATGATTGTAGAAAAGGGATGCTTCTGGAATCAGCTCAAGTCACTGAAGTAATTTGATCACTCTGGCAGGCAAATGGTAAGACAAATGGGAAAATGCTATTCTTTCAGTCAAAGTGAGGAAATCTAAGTGCTCCAAGATTTAAGTATACCACAGCTTATCCTTTTTTGTTTGATTCTTTGTTCGTTTTACTAAGGATGGCAAGTTTCAAGGGGTAATCTTTCTTTTTCACTCTGTATTGTTTTACAAATCTCCAAAGTTTAGTTCAAACTACACTCCAGGACTTGACAAAGCAAAGAGACAACACACCCTTTGCAAACTATTCCTTATGGCTGGCTCATGAACCGAAAAAATCCCTCCATGGGGGCAACTTACCTATTGGAAATCTTCTTGCTGACACGCTGTTGGCTCATTTACGTTGTCATCCTGGCTGTTCATTTCAACTGTAAGCAGAAAAGGTGCAATCATTATCAAACCTAAACCCTTAAACGCACGAAAACGGGCCACTCCGGTTTGAAATCGTTCCCATCTCCTATCTATGCCTTTTCTGTTCTCATTTATTCATGACAGCGGGGACCAGGAGGTTAGGATTCATTCTCCTCTCAGCTGAGCTGTCATTTCATGCAAGATTTGTGGTTTGGCAGGCTGCGTGTATTTATTACCATCCTTAAATAAATAAATTCAAAGGCCTTAATACACATCTAAAGAAAATAAAGAGAAAACAAAGAAAAGCAGAGCATTGACATGCAGAGAGGTGCAGGGTCCCCTCCTTAGTGGCAATGTCGACAGACCTGTTTAGTTCGCTGTTTTCAATTTCACAATTCAAAACAGTTCCTGCAAACTGCCAATGGGTATAGCAGGCAATAGATGCCACGAGATAGATGAGCCACACATGTGCCTTTTACTTGATTGTATTCAGTCTATGTGAGCATTTGCATAAAAATAGAATGCATAATTACTGCCTTTCTCCAGAAGTGGCCCAAAGCAGCCACTCTGGAAATTTCCAAGGGTCAGCAAGTTTAATGAGATTTTCACTATCCAAAGCCCATATTGTAAGCTAAGAAAATAAATATAGAAATGGACAGTGGGGAACTGGAAATATAGCTCAGTTGGTAGAATGCTTGCCTTGAATGCTGGAGTCATGAGTAGATTTCCTAGCAACACACACACGTGAAACAATGACAGATAATTACAACAGTAAAATTCTGATTTCAAATCCCTGGCCAGCAAACATAACCTCTAGCAAAATGTCCAGGACCAGTGCCGGTGGTCATCAGTTTTCAATTTGTAAGAAACCAAGAAATACACCCAGCTCCTAGTGAGCTTTCTTATGTCAACCGCCTCCAAATAAGGGATGTTTAACTACACATATCCGGCTTACCTGCCAAGCACAGACAGTACTCACCAACACCGTCACTGTTCTAACCTCTAGTTATTTTTATTTGGGAAGTTTTCACTTACTTGCACAAAACCAACAATCTAAGTTCCTTGTTTTGCTTTCAGAATATAAATGAGTAAAAGAATGGAATAATGGTGGATGCTGGGTCCCATATTACACAGATACTTGGATGGCCAAGATCTCTCCCAGGGTTACAGGCTTAAAACACTGGTCTCTCTTCCTTTACCTGAGACCCGCACCATTTTCCTAATTATTTGTGATCTCGTTTCAAATTCTGCCTGTGAACTCACCAGATGAAACAGTTCTCTCAGCCAAAGAAACATTTGTGCACTGTTCAACCTGGCACACGGGCTTCCCTCTCAGAGTACAGGGTTAAGCACGGAAGAAACACTCGTTTTCTGTTCCTGCCTCTAGTCAAAAGACACTAAGGCCTCCAGACTATTAATACATGTTCTATAAAAAGTGTTCCATGATAAAATAACTCTGTGGAAAAGTAATGTTAAATCATATTAAAGAAGTTCTTGCTGAGTCTATAGGTCTCCACAGTATCTCGGGTGAAAACTCAGCATTTTACACACTGGTGTCTTGTTCTTCACGGAGCAACACATAGGCTGGACATCCTCAGAGCTTACTTTGGGAACAAGTAGTAAGGAAACATGTCCATGGTTTTGGAGGTGGTTTGGAGCATCTCCTGGGTCAGGAATGCTCGTGAGTAGAGGTCTTAGAGTTAAGGGGGGCCGTTCAGGTGATGGCCAACCTATGGGGTGGAGAAAAGCCTGCTCTATCCTTTACACAACCGTGTTCCTCCCCTGATGGCTGATTTATTTCTGAAGTGATTGTCGACTCAAGGTAATTTACTTTTCCCTTTTACCCCGTCAAAGGTGGAGAAATGTGGGGCTGATCACCAGCTCATCCACTAGCTTTACAGGAACAGTAGATCCGCTGAAAGACCATGGCGCTCACTTTAACAGAATGACTTTGTTTGGAGGCCCTAGCAGGGGAGTGTAGTCTACCCTTGATGGAAAACTGTTCTTCCTCATGAGGAAGCAGACAGCTTCAGGGAGGATGTTCATGGCGCTGTGAGGGAAGCAGGGGGCATCTGCCTGGCTATCCAGATCAGCCACATCAACAGTGACAATAAATGGGTTAATGGATGACACTCTCACAAATGGGGTGACAGATGTCACTCTCATGGTCTAGTGTAACAATTGAAAAGGTACATTGAAGCAGGCAGGTGGTAAAGACTTATTTGTGGCCTCCTTCCCTTCACTCCAAAGAGCCCTGCATGGGGAGGTGTTTCTTGCTTATGAGAGGGATGTATAATTAAGGTCAAGCCTTAAATGTGAAACAGAGCAGAGCTAGCCACAGAGAAATCTGGTGCTGGAGAAAGCCCTGTGCCCCACCCTGCCCCGTCTCATGGGACCAGGTAGGCTCAGGTCCTGAGTCACTACAACTACATCAGACTTGGTAGCTAACTACCTCTACAATGCCTCCTTAATTCTATGGTAGCAGAGTGGAGAACAGAACTCTCCCTGCTGGGAAGACAGGTATGAAAGCAAGCTAGCAACAGGATTTGTCTGGACCCTGTGATCACTCCTGCTGTACTTTGGCCCAGGACCCGGGAGAAAGGGAAGATCTTGTTTTTCCGCCACAGCTCAAAGCCTTTAGATCAACTCTAACAACAGGCAGAGACCCGTGGGTTCCAAGAATAGACTCCACTTTGGGTCTGCATTGGGTCCAGCTTTGGCAGTTGATAGCAGAGATGCTCCCTTCCTGTGACTAGGAAAATCTCTCTGTATGTGACCCAGCTTGGTGCCAGCCTTGCTAGCCAAGGGACTGTCTCTACCATTTATCTCAGATCTCAGGTAATGCAGCTTTAACAAGCCAGTTCACAGAGTCCCAGCCTTGTCCTGGCACCGGGAATAGACTGTGCCTGGTGTTTTGGCTCACACCAATACCAACTGAAATGTGGTTCTTTGATGTATGCGACCGTGCAGGTCCTTGCTACCATGAGACTTAAGCACATCTCGGCTTAGTGTCAGTGTGGACTGCTTTGCTCAGCACTAAATGAACCTAGTATGCTATACGGTCATATCACTGAGGGTAGGGCGGAGTAGTAAGTGATGGGTTTTAGCAGCTCAGGGCTGAGTTCCAGGATATAATCTGAAACCGAGAAAAAGCTAATATCTCTCATTCCCAGGTTTGGCTACTAAGAGCTCTGGAAGGTCTCCAATGCAAAGAAACGACATGGGGTACTGAACTTCTAAAGCATCTAACATGGCTTGGGCTGGTTGCAGCAATCTGTTGCCACAATTCTGCTTTACCAATAGGCAATCATTTCTTCTCCCATTTTAAAAAGCAGATCTTATGTAGTCCAGGATGGATTAAATTTATTATGTAGCTGAGCATGACCTTGAACTTCTGACCCCCCTGCCTCGACTTCCAAAGAGTTGAGATTACAGGTGTGTGTCACCATACTTGACCATTTCCTTGTTAGTATGTACTTTCCCTTCTGTTTCCATTCTTTATATTATATATTCAAAAATTTTTTATAAGTGTTATGTCAAGTGTGATGAAAATAATTATCTTTGCTTTATAAGATGAAGAATGGGAGAAAGGAAGTACAGGAAAGCTAGGAAATGATTTATATAGTGGCTGAAGAAAGACCTTACCTTGAATGTAAATGAATCAATTTTCCAAGTAAATGTCACAGTTACTGATTGGGATAAAACACATGACCAAATTACATAGTGCTTTGAAGAAACTTAACTCACCACTCAAGGTATGTGTAGATTGAGGACAAAGATATGGAGGGAACTACTCTATGCTCAGGGGGTTCGAGAGGAAGCACAATTAGCTATCATACAGCAGATAAAAAGACTTAGTAATAGTGAAAAGAGGTAAGGTGGGTTGTTTCAGAATGACAAAGGGGTCAATTCTGCAAGAGAACAAATTTTAAATACATAAAGCTGATCTTATGAATAGCTGGCCTCTTAACACAGCAGCTGGGGACTTTTGTGTTGCATTTGCAGCGATGGTAAAATCACGTAGACAGAAAATCCCAAGCAGACAAAAGGATTAAATCGTACCCTAAACCCAAGGCTTAAGCAGTCATTCCCAGGGTGTTCCATTTGCCAAAGGCACATTTTTCTGACCTATACACAGAACATTCTTCAGGGCAGATAATATGATGGAACATACAACAAAGCCCATTACATTTGATTAATTGTAAATTATACTGCTTAGGATTTAACAAAACAAAAAAAAAAAGTCAATAGCAAGGAAAGCTTTAAAAATCCATGTAAAACGTCCTTTTGGATAATCAGTGGGTGTAGGAATCAAATTGGTCATGAGATATATTGAAACAAGACCCATGTGAAGTCCTGTGAGAGCTGGTAGGCCAGTGCTGCCATCCAAGTTCTTGCTCAGAGGGTTCTGTCTGGGTCTCTTGTCAGTCAGCACACACAGTTAGCTTCCTTTCACTCATGCCAGCCCTCTCTCGCCACCACAATCCTCTCCGAGGTTCTCAGCTGGCTCGGTGAGCACTCAGGACTCAAGTATGAGAAGAAGGGAGCTCTCAGCTCAGAGCTGGGCCTGAAGAAATTCGCCTTGTGTGGCAGACTACAGCAGTAGCCTGACTTGAACAGTAGGCACCATTCTCCTGCCTCTCTCTGAGTGGTAGAGAAGGAGGGACAAAGGGGTGCTGCCCAGCAGTGGGTGTGGGAGACATCAAGGTACCTCCACACATGGTCCCTTTGTTTCCCCACCAGCCTGAGCAAGTCATGTCCGCAGGCCATGGGCTCAAAGAATCAGCTCTACTCAGGGAGGGAGCTATACATGTCAACACATCTGAGTGACTGTAATCCTCTGATTCTTGCCCACCAGCACCTTCCCTTCTGTCCTTTCTTGCCTTAACCTCGCTTCCTTTGCCCAGGCTTCAGTTCCTTTCAGTACAATTTTGTTTGGCATATAGCTGTATAATATAACATAACATATAAGTATTGATTATAACAACCCACATGACAAGCTTCTTAAGATGTGAAATAAGAGTCCCATACTCTCTCCACTTTTATTTGACGGAGTTCTATAAATTATAGCCAGAGAACTTGGGCTACAAGTAAAACTAAAGGGCCCCTAAAGTGAAAAGTTGCCCATGTTTACCAATGATTTGATTTTACTTATAGGAAATGTCAAAGACCCCTCTCTAGTAGAACTGCTAATTAAATTCAGCAAGCTGCAATAACATACATGTAGCACTGCTTTTGCCCATAGTGACCTGCTTTAAATAGAAATAAATAAATCAATCCCATACCTAGGAGGAAATGTAACTATAAAACATTGATGAAGGAAAGAGAACACAAAATAGTAGAAAATGTTTGTACTACCCCAACTTAATCCATATAAAAATTCTAATGATGTTGTTCACACAGTGGGAAATAATTTAATGTGTAGCTATAAAAATCTCCTATAGCCAAAATGATCCTGACCAAGAAGAACAAAGGAAGGGGTGGTAAATATACCTCAAAACTGGAATGACCAAACCACCAAGGTTTGGGCTTAAACAGACAGGTGAGTTACTAGATAGTCTAGTTGGTACTATGAGCATGCATGAGACAAAGGACAGCTCTTTTCACTAAGTGGCGAGCATGTGTTTGATATCCTCATGCAGAAGAGTAAAACTAGACTCCTCTTTCTCATCAGTTATAAAAATCAACTAAAAGTAGATTAAAGACTCACAGAAGACATGAAACTGTGGAAGGAAAACAGGGGAAACACTACAGGACTTTGGCAAGGGCAAGAATCTTTGGCACAGACCACAAAAAGGACAGGAAACAAAAGCTAAAGTAGACAAACGGAATTTCATCAAACTAAAATGTTCTTGTGCAGCAAAAAAATAATAATTGATGGAACCATTATATTGAATGGGAGAGAATCTCCGTAAACTACACCACTGAAAAAGGGTTGAAAGCCAGAATAGAGGGAATTACAGAAATGTATTAGCAAGGGAACATGTGACCTACTTCATAAATAAGCAACAAATCTAAGCAGACATTTCTCAAAAATGTCCAACAGGAATATTGAAGTAAAGATTAAAAATTGCACAAATACATCACTTCCTTGCAGTAGAAATTATGGTTATCAAAAACAATGAAAATAATAAAGGTTGACATGGGCTTGGGGAAGCCTTGCAGACTGTTAGTGTGAATTTAAAACAGTATAGTCATTATAGAGAACAGTATGAAAGTTCCATGAAGACAGAGAGAGAGAAAAAAACTACCATATGATCTGGCAATCCAACTACTGAGCATATATACCTGAAGGAAACAAAGTCAGTACATTGGAAAGAAGCAACACAATATCCAAAAAAAAAAATAGAAATGAATGTTTGGGAATTTCTAAGTGGAAAAGGAAAGTGTGGCATAGCTAGTGGAATACTAGTTATACTCATTGTCATTACAGGAATGAATCCTGTCATTTGTGACATCCGTGGAACTCGAGATTATATCAAAAGAAGTAGGCCAGATACAGAGAGACAAGTGATTAGTCGTCTCTCAGAAACTGAGTGGAAGATGGTGATGATCAGAGACCAGGCACACTGGGAGGGGCTCGGTGATCGTTGTTGAGTTACAGTGAGAAGTTATGGTCCAGGATTGCATGGGAGGGTGTCTGCAGATGAGAACAGTAGTATTGTATTGCCAAGAGCTAAAACAAGTATGAGGTTTTACCAGAAAGAACTGAGTAATACTGGAGATGAATATTCTTAACCTGACTTAGAAATTATGCCTTATCTATAGATTATAGCGCAGACCATTAACAAATGTAACTTTATCATTTTAGGTATCGCCAAAAATTAGTAAACATGTATCACTTGGCATAGTTGATATCCTATGGATTCTAGTTTTCTTGGCTCTGAGATAAGCTGCTGCTGAAGGGTTAAGGGATCTCCTCTGCGACTTTTCTCCCTTCCCAGACCCAAGGCAACCAGACTCACTGGCTTCTAGTTTATCTAGTAAGCTCCCAAGATCACTGGCCCGGCCTTGGGAAGTCTACAAAAGTAAGGAAAGTCCCTTGTGCTGTGGGTGGCTGCTGGCTCTTCTATCCTGGCTTCTCCCACAGCAAGTACTTGGTTACTAAAGGATAATTCATCTAAATCCCGCTCAGCACCCCTCTCTAATCAAACCAAAAAGACTCTTTATTATAATATTTAAAACACAAACCCCAGTGACCCAGCAGAATCATGTCTGCAGAAACAGGTATTTTTCTAATGCAAATAATGGCGTTTCAGAGTCTTCTCAGCAAGGATGTGTAGGAGAGGGGATGTTAATAAGTTCATGGTTCTGGGATCTTTATATGAAGGCATCTAAAGTTAAGTGGGTTTATGTTTAAGGTGCTCTGAAAGAGTCCTTGTGTATTTAGTCAAAGCTTCAGAGGTGAAGCAGTTGAGAGTATGAGAAGAATCTTAGCCCAAGCTCACTGGAGGGCTCCAGAATGCTGGGGGAGCAGGGATAACAGCAGGCCAGGCAGATTTCAGCTTGACCTTGAATGACTCACTGTGACCTCAATATAATGAGGAATGTTTAAGCCATAAACCACGTGTGTTATCTTAAAACAGAATTTGTTCATATGCACACACATAAGCACACTTTTGGCTTTTGAAATTTACTTTTGTTCTAACCAAATATGTCGATTCCTTGATCTGATCATTCCCATAATCCTAGATTTACATGTGCACAAAATACCACAGATTCATAGCTGAGCACCGGTAGCTCAAACTCACTCACCATCAGGACCTGTAGTGGTTTCTGTGTCGCTGGAACCTTGGCTTTTTGCAAACACAGAAGATGCATCCTCGTCTTGAGCTGAAGGAAGGAACGCAGAGAGCCCTGGTTACTAGAGAATCACAGCTGCTAATCTGCTCTCGCCCTCCACTGCCCTCTTAAATTGAAAAATACTCTGGGAATTTAACTTCTTCTGAAGGGTGGGTTAGAGGAGGAAGTTGTGGGTCGAGATGATTGAATACTTCAGTGTTTTCTCCTAAGTCCTCTTTCATTTTTGAGATAATCACATACATAAATAGTTTCTCAAATTAGAAATCTAGTAGGATAAAAAGAAAGATATGTTTTAATCAACACAGTGTGCAGTTTAAATTTAGGGAAGGAGGAGGTGTTGTGGGGGAGAAAGATAGATAGACAGACAGACAGACAGACAGACAGACAGACAGATAATAGATAAATCGATAGAAATAGAGAGAGACAAGTCCTTAAAACAAAACCATGATGAAAAAAGGCCTGATCTTGCCTAAGGCATGCCCGAAAGCTGCAAGGTCTCTTCTCGTCACCAGAAGGTTTTCTTGTTAAACTATAGAAGAGCAACACAGCTGCCTCCCCAGGGGACCTTCTAAGACGCTGAGGGCTGAGTGTCTAGCCTGTTGCTGGCTTGTGTTGTGTCCTATTTTCTATATGACCTTTAGAAAGAAGGCCATCCATTCACTGTGGTTGAATTTATAAAACACATCCCCACACCAATAAATAAATAGATGAATAGATAATAGATAGATTATAATAGATGATAGATAGATAGATAGATAGATAGATAGATAGATAGATAGATAGATAGATAAAAACCCATGGTTTCTCTGTTGTAACCCTAGCTGTCCCAGAACACATTCTGTAGACCAGGCTGGCTTCCAATGCAGAGCTTCTCTTGCCTCTGCCTCCCTAGTGCTTGCATTAAAGCTGTGGGCCATCAGAGCCAGCTGATACAACATTAGCTGGTGCAAGGAGAGGATCACTCACCTTTACAGATATTCAAAAGCCAAAAACCTCTCAAACCTTAAATACCTAATATGTTTTCCCAACAAGAATGCTGGGAATTTACAAATACAGGCACTTGAAGGTTTTCTTTCTGTACTTTTTAAAGAGAAGGTGAAATCGTTTGACAGGAGGACGGCCTGAGAAGAGAATAGGTTAGATTCAGCATGCCAAGTGGGGATAAAGCAAGAGGGGCAGCTCAGTTTGTGATCTTGCAGAGGGAAAGGCATTTGCTGGTAATCTGTACTCTTGAACCATTTACTGGTGCTGACAGTCAAGAAATATGGCTTAGTGTATCTGGTTTCATGTTGAGGTCTTTGATCCACTTGGACTTGGGTTTGGCAGGGTGACAGGTGACAGGTATGTATCTAGTTGCAAACCTCTATGCATTGACGCCTGAATATACTTTTTTTTCATTGTTTATTTCCTGCTGCTTTATCAAAAATCAGGTGTCCATAGATATCTGAATTTTCATCTGGGTCTTCAATTCGGTTCCTTTGATAAATCTGTTTTTATGCTGATACCATGTGGTTCTTATTGTTCTACTCTATAATACAGCTTGAGATGAGGGATGATGATACCTCAAGTGTTGTATATTTTGTTTATGTTCAGATAAATAAAGCTTGCCTGGAGATCAGAGGGCAGAGCTAGCCACTAGTTAACCACAGAGGCCAGGCAGTGGTGGCTCACACCTTTAATCCCAGAACTTGGGAGGAGGAAGCAGGAAGATTGGGAGTTCAAGGCCACCCTGGGCTACACAAGATTGAACCAGTCTAAAAGAGAAACAGAGCCAGTTGGTAGTGACTCACACCTTTGATGCCAGCACTAGGGAAGTGGAGACAGGAATATAAGGTGGGTAGAGACAGGATCCCCCTCACCCAGATTCAGTCTGAAAATTCATAGAGACAGAATTGCCCCCATTCAATCTAACGATTCAGAGTCTCTGGTGGCTGGCTGCTCTGCTTCTCTGATCTTTCAGCTTTCACCCTAATATCTGACTCCAGATTTTTATTGATTAGGAGTAATTAGGATCACTCTTCACTCCAGAAGTTTGTTTATTGTACGGGATTGCTTTAGCTGTCCATTTTTCTTAGTAGTTGTGTTTTTGTTTTGTTTTTGTTAAGTATATTGTTTTTTCAAGTTCTGTAAAGAATTGTGTCAGAATTTCGATGAGGATTGCTTTTGGTAAGATTGTCATTTTTTTCTCTTTTAATCCTACCAATCCATGAGCTTGGGAGATCTTTCCATCTTCTGATATCTTCTCCCATGTCTTTCTTCAAAGACTTGAAGTTCTTCCTATATAGGTCTTTTACTTGCTTGGTTAGAGTTATATCAATATATTTTATATTATTTGTGGCTATTGTGACAGGTGTTGTTTCTCTAATTTCTTTTGTATATGGGAGGGATACTGGCAGTTTTTTTTTAGTTTATTTTGTTTCTAGCCACTTCACTGAAGGTATTTATCAGCTATATAATCTCCCTGGTAGAATATTCTGGGTCACCTATCTATACTATCATATTATTTGTAAATAGAGATATTTTGACTTCTTTCTTTTCCTTTTGTATTCGCTTGATCTCCATTAGTTGTCTTATTGCTTTAGCAGAACCTCAAGTATTATTGGATAGATATGGAGAGACAACCTTGTCTTGTTCCTGATTTTAGTAGACTTGCTTAAAGTGTCTCTTTATTTAATTTGATTTTGGCTATTGGCTTGCTGTATATTACCTTTATTATGTTTATGTTTGTTTTACATCCCTGATCTCTTCAAGACTTTTATTGTGAAGGGGTATTGGATTTTGTCAAATGCTTTTTCAGCATCTAATGAGATGATCATGTCATTTTTTTCTTTCATTTGTTTATATGGTGGATTACGTTAACAACTTTTGTTATTCATCCTTGCATCTCTGGCATGAAGCCCACTTGATTATAGTGGATGATCTTTCTGATGTGTTTTTGAATTCAGTTTTCAATTATTTTTTATTAATATTTTTTCATCGTTGTTCTTAAGGGAAAATGGTCTGTAATTCTCTTTCTTTGTTGGGTCTTTGTGTGGTTTTGGTATCAGGGTAACTGTAGCTTTATAGAATGAATGTTTCTTCTGTTTCTATTTTGTGGAATAATTTGAGTATTGGTATTAGCTCTTCTATGAAAGTCTGGTAAAATCTGTCCTAAAAAAAATCTAGCTCTGGGCTTTTTATTTATTTATTTTTTAAGATGACTGCTTTTATTTCTTTAGGGGTTATATGTCTATTTGTTTATCTGATCTTGATTTAACATTGGTAAGTGGTCTATATCAAGGAAGTTATCCATTTCTTTTAGATTTTCCAATTTTGTGGAGGTTGTTGAAGTATGTACTCACTTATATGTGGATATTAGTTATTAAGTAAATGATAATCAAGCTATAACCCAGAGACTTAGGGGGGCAAGGTAACAAGGAGGGCGAAAGGGCAGGGGAGATACAGGGATCTCACTGTGAAGGGGAAATAGAATAGATATCACAGGTGAATGGGGGGACTGAGTGGGGGTGGGGTGGGCATGGGAACAGGAGGGGTCAGGTTGGGGGAGCATGGAGGGAGAGAGTACTAGGAAAGACAACTGGAATCAGGGGTATCTCTGAGATGACCTAGAACCTAGTGCAATGCAACCTTTGACCACATAACCTTTGACCAAATGTTTGACCTGCAATGTGCCCTGCCTACAAGATAAGCTGGGAATAAAAGTGGGACAGAAATTATGGGAGTTGCCAACCAATGAGTAGACTAGCTTGAGACCCATACCACGAGAGGGAGCCCACCTCTGACATTGCCTGTAGGGCTAGGACCCAGAGGCTGGACAACCCAGACACCTAGGATAGAACCACACATGAACAGCAATAAATAAATCAATAAATGTCAATGAAATGACTCCTAGTGAATTCTGTTATACTCATAGATTGTTGCCTAGTCCAGTTGTCATCAGAGAGTCCTCACCCAGCAACTGATAGAAACAGATGCAGAGACCCACAGCCAAAGATTAGGTGGACCTCAGGGAATCCTGCTGTAGAGAGGTGAGGAGGAGTATGGGAACCAGAGGGGGTAAGAGACAAAGAAAACCAACACAATCAACTACCTTGGGCTCATATGCTCATAGGGACTCAGAGAGACTGAAACACCAACCAGAAAGTTTGCATGGGACTGACCTAGGCCCTCTGCACATGTTACACTTGGGAAGCTTGGTCTTCTTGTGGGACTCCTAACAGTGGACGTAGGGGCTGTTTCTGACTCTGTTACCTGTTTTGGGGTCCCTTCCCACCTACTGGGTTGCCTCTTCCAGCCTTAATAGCAGAGGAGATACTTGATATGCCATAACTGGCTGATATACATGGGAAGCCTGCCCCTTTCTGAAGAAAAAGGAGAAGAGGTGGATGGCGAGGAGGTTGGACTGGGAGGAGAGAAGGGAGGGACAGAAAACTGACTGGGATGGAAAAAAAATAATACTAATTTAAAAAATGAAATATGACTTCAACATAATTGACCATGTGGCTTGGTAGGGAAGTCAGAACTTGAAGATGTAAATACAAGCAGAGTGGGGGAGGAAGAACACCATTTTAAGATTTGAGGTACGAGTTAAGCCTTATTTAGTTGAAAACGCTGAAGAAGCTGTTGTATTGGATATCGGAAAAGGAGTGTGAAATACACAGGAGGAATCAGGGAGGTGCCATTCTTCAGTAAAACTGATGATACAAGATTAGATGAGCTGGCACCGGGAAAGGCTAACACAAGAAGAAAACTCTTCAGACATAATCATCCCGAAGCACTGCTCGAGTTCTGCTAGTAATGTCTGAGGATGGGATCAGGACACAGAAAAGAGACCTTGAACTTGCAGCTCAACCTGTCACCGCAATCTCACACTTTAACTCTGAATCTTCCCGAAAGTTTAGCACTTTGCAAGTGTTCATTAGCACACTACTTACACTTGTGTGCAGAAGAAATCAGTGATGTGTCCCTATAGGATGGGGGCATGAGCAGTTTGTCACTTGAGATTAAAAGCATAGCAGAAATAAAAAAAA